GTATATTTCAGGCGTTAGAGGGATATTTATTTTAAATTTTGTTAAAAAGATTATTTGTATTCTTTTCCAGAATGTTTGTATCTTCCTATGCACTGTATAATTCCTTCATGATAACAGCTGCCCTGTCTTTATTGGACTTTGCTGTTATGGATGTCAGAATTGTGTCTGAGGCAGTTTGGTGTATCCCTTTCTGCACTGTTGTGATTGTGCTGTAAGCTGTGCTTGCTAGGTATTCCAAATGGGGTGTTCTGTATTAAAAACAAAAAAAACAGGTATGTTGAGAGAATGGCAGCTCTCCATGGTTGCAGTAGTGGGACAGGAGTGTTCTTTCAGATGAAATCAACAGAATTAGGCCTCTAGGTCACCACAGACCTTTATCATCTGTGTGGATTTTGTGGGGCAGAAGGACCGACCCTGTCCCTGTGAGGAAAGAAATTCTTCTTGGCTCAGTGTGAGAAATCTACTGTACTGTTGGTTGAGTTTAAAGTCTTGTTGGGGACTAGTGGGAAATGTATCAGGTTAGCAAGTTGACTGGTTTTCTTTTTCTGAAGAGTAGTCCGTTTCAGGTGCTTGCCTTCTTTTGGGAAAGTCCTGTCAGTTGCAAACTGTGTGAAGAATTGGTTCTTTTTGGGTGAATGCAGTTTAGAGACACCTTCCTTAATCTTCTTCCACTTGCTGTGCAAGATGGAAGTTAAGATAGCGGCAGTGGTTTCCAGGAGCACGTGTGGCACAATCACTCAACATCATTTGTGTGGTGGTGACAATTACTCAGCATTGTTTGTGTGGTGACAATAAGTGGACGCTTCACTCTCAGGCACTTTGGCATAATGTCTTGTTGATGGTATCTTGATGCTGTTTTGTGGACTGGATCTCACCTCTTATGGGTTCTGGAAGATTCAGTCACTTATGAGGAAAAACCCTGGTTTTCCTTATTCCTTTCTTTGATGCCCCAATTGGATTGTTTCTGAGGGAGTTCGTTGTGTCCCTTTCTGCACTGTTGTGGTTGTGCTGTAAGCTGTGTTGTCTGTTGGGCACTCCAGTGAGGATATTCTGTATTTTTAAAAAAACCAAAATAGGTTAGTTGAAAGAATGTTGTCTGGCAGACCCCCACCTAAAAAAGAAATCTGGGGTGGAGGCAGTGAGTGGATCATTATGAACATAAGAACATAAGAGCTGCCAATGTTGGATCAGGCCAAAGGCCCATCCAGTCCAACACTCTGTATCACAAAGTGGCCAGAAATCCCAGTGCCATCAGGAGGTCCACCAGTGGGGCCAGTACATTAGAAGCCCTCCCCCTGTTGACCCCCCCCCCAGCACCAAGAAGACAGAGCATCACTTGCCCCAGAGCCCCTATCTATCCCTTGTGGCTAATAGCCACTGATGGATCTCTGCTTCATATGCCTATCTAATTCCCTTTTGAAGCCATCCATGCTTGTAGCCGCCACCACTTCCTGTGGCAGTGAATTCCAAGTGTTAATCACTCTTTGGGTGAAGAAGTACTTCCTTTTATCCGTTCTAACCCGACCGCTCAGCAATTTCATGGAGTGCCCACGGGTTCTTGTATTGTGAGAAAGGGAGAAAAGTACCTCTTTCTCTACCTGCTCTTTCCCATCCATAATCTTATAAACCTCAATCATGTCACCCCGCAGTCGTCGTTTCTCCAAGCTAAAGAGCCCTAAGCGCCTTAACCTTTCCTCATAGGGAAAGTGTTCCAACCCTTTTATCATTCGAGTTGCCCTTTTCTGCACTTTTCCCAAAGTGTGGTGACCAGAACTGCACACAGTATTCCAAATGAGGTCGCACCATTGATTTATATAGGGGCATTATGATATTGGCTGATCTGTTTTCAATACCCTTCCTAATGGGTATTCCTGATGGGTATAGATCAGCAAGTGGGACACAAATCCAGCCTGGTTTTGGGTGTCCTAGAACTAACCATCATGGAAAAAGCTTTAAAAACATCGTCCTTGAGGGAGGGTCATGATCTCCCTGGATTTACTGTCTACTATCCAGAAAGTCCAGTTGGGCCCACCAGCACTTCGCGTTGTTATCCTCAAGGTGTTTCTTAACTGTGGGGCAGTAGGAATGTTGGTTTCTGTGTCTGAGGTAGAATTTCCTCTCTGTACATTTTTTCACGTTATGAGACATTGTGTTTTACTTGAATATCTTCTCTCTTCGTAGAAAACCTGCGTTGACATTTGGAAACAGGACACGTTGATTGACTCTGAGGAAGGGGAGCCTACAGCGCTGAGGGGAACAGCCCCAGAAACCAGAAGTTTCCTTAGCTCCCAACATTTTAATTGTGCGATGGATAACTTGAGCGTGGAAGTGGAGGTGAACATGTCTGTAGAGGAGGGGGCAGCGATAGTCCCACGAATGGTGAAGGAGGAAGAGAATCCTGATAGTTTCAAGCTGTGGTCAGAAATGGATGGAGCAAAAGCCACGGCGATTCTACACGGAGGGGATATTGGGGAGTTAGAGACCCCAACGTCTTTGCACAATATAAAAAAGGAACCGGAGGACGGGGTGCAACAGCACTGGGAGGCCCAGTGGCAAGAGTTCTTGGGGACCTTACAGGCTCCTCACTCAGGATGGGCAAACCCTCAGGTTTCTGAGGAGGCCGAACCATGGGAAGATGCTAAGGTCTTTTTGGCCTCCTTTGAGCAAGTGGCGACCACATGCCGATGGCCTCGTGACCAGTGGGTGGCCCTCCTCCTGCCGGCTCTCAGCGGAGAGGCCGAGCAGGCTTTCAGCAGCCTCAGTGCCCGAGAGAGGGGAGACTATGGGAAGGTCAAGGCGGCCATCTTGCAAAGAGAGGCCATTGTGAGGGAGAGGAAGCGTCAGCAGTTCAGGCAGGTCTGCTACCAGGAAGTGGAGGGCCCAAGAGCGGTCTATGGGAGACTCCGGCACCTCTGCCGTCAGTGGCTGAAAGCGGAAAAACACACGAAAGATGAGATCTTGGAGCTGCTGATCCTGGAACAGTTCCTGACCGTCCTTCCCCAGGAAATGCAGAGCTGGGTCCGGGAACGTGGTCCAGAGACCTGTATCCAAGCAGTAGCGCTGGCAGAGGATTTCCTGTTGAGGCAGAAAGGCGTCATGAGACCAAAAGAACAGGTGAGATAGTTTGATTTTTTCCGGAAGAGATCAGGTTTCTTTTTGCAGGCAACAGTTGATTCCCCCAATCTTTTCCATTCTTGGACTGTGAAGCTTAGGTTGTCAGAAAGAGGTTCAGTGTATAAGAGGTTCCATCATCACCACATTGTGAAACCGGGGACTGGTGTTCCCTTTTAGCTGAGTTAGTGTGAGCTACCTTAGTTTTTTAGCCTCTGGCTCACACAGATTTGTCTTAGCTCAGGAAGGATGACTCCAGAGCAAACTAATTTATGTAGTGGCCAAGTCGCTCGCTCACAACTTTAATGCCAGTTGCTCACAAAGTAGAATTTTTGCCTACAAGACTCCACAGCTTAGAGGGAGCGCTGGTGGGCATCTGTTCTCAAGGTGGGAAAAATCCGGTTTGTGTGGCCCATCTTGAATGGGGCTTTCATTGGTGTTTCAGGTGGCTGAATCTTTGCAGAAGGCAACTGTGAATTCTGCTGAAACAAACAATGTTCCACCACCAGATCTTTTGAACCTTGACCTGAAGCCCAAGCAAAAAGCAGGAATGGGAAGGAGATGAGAAGTTACTAGGTAAGAACATCTTGTATTTGTTTTCTGAGGAAGGAAGAACACTATGCCCCTCGGTTACAGTTGGGGGTTAATGAGTCGTAGGTTCCAAAAAGTCAAAGATGATTGGGCCTCAGTTGAGCCACGCTTGAGGCCTAGTACTTCTTTTTCCACAAGCTGAGCACTCTACAATATTAGGCAAGACATTTATTACATGCATATGTTATTTGACGTAATTCTTAATACAAAATGAAAGGCTGAAGTTCTAGAACGTTCCGCAGATCTACAGGGCTGTTTTCAGTGGAAGGAAGGGGGCAGCATTCGGTAAGTGGGGAGAATTATGTTGCTGTATGTCAGGTTCAAATATGTGTTAAAATGGTGTGGCCGTAACCACACAAATTCTGAACATGGTAGGAGTCTGGTGGCTACAGAGTATCGCATACGATGGAGGAATAATGCAGCAGAGGGAAAGCCACCTCAGGAATTCAAAACATCCAGAACAAATGTATTCTTAAGGATTTTCTCTTCTTTTAAGTAGAGGAATCTAGTATCCAAGAATGGTAGAAACTTAATTTAAATTGAATTTAAATTACAAAAAAAGGGAATGACTGAAGAAGTATTTGAGGTTCCCACTGAGAGTCCTATTTTGGGGGAGCTGGTTTTTGTATGTGCTTTGCAAAGTAATGTCAAGTGCACGTCTCTTGGGTTACTTGATGTTCTGGCCTCATTTAATAAAGGTTGTTGATGTTTTTTGTCTGTCTACTAGCACAGTTGCCAACCATCTTCTCCCTG